CTAAACAAGTTATACTAATTAAAATTGCTCAGCAAATATTGTAACAAAAAACTTACCCTATAAAAAATTCTAGTTTTTATTCCAAAGAAACTCAGACACATGATAATTAAATACTGCAAAGTGGAATATAATTATTATATGAATAGAAACAGTTTAGCTAATATACTGATAAAAAGTTAAAGTAACAAATAAAAAAAATACATAAATCTTTTTTTTTTTTTTTTTAGCAGTAAATTCAAGAATGGAAAAATAAAATTTATTGATTGTTGAGTAAAAGGAATACATAAACTGTATACAAACACTCGAACCTAAACTAACTAAACTAATTTAATCTAAATGGGATAGAAAGGAAAATGACCTAAAAAAGAGGGTTAGTAAAAAAAATAAAAGCAATATACCTTAAAAAGGCGAAAAAACAAGAAAAATAATTGAAAGGGTAGAGAGGATTAAAAAACTTGTACTTAAAAATTTAAAGTCAATACCCACAAATTTTAAAACCTAAACTACGTAAATTATCTAATATCTCCGCTAAGATCTTTGATCATGATTCTTTTATGGGACTTGTCCTTCTTTTGCTTCTTTTGCTTCTGGGACTTCGTTTCTAGTGGTTTTCTCAAAATTCTTAGAATTCTTTGATTTTTGTCTGTTGACTTCTTGAAGTATTTTGAGTCTTGTTGGTTTGATTACTACGTGACTTCTAGACAGTTGTTGATGCTCCCAACAATTCAATGCGTTCTGCATATCTTCCCACCTTCGAAATAAACAATAAGCTTACGAGTTTGAATAATTTTGAAACTTTCATTCCTTTCACTTCTGTAAGAAATGAATGTGGGTGATTATCCTTAAATCTGGTAATAAAAAATACATAAATCATGCGTTGGGTGCTACGGCGTCGTTTCTAAAAGGGGAACTTCAAATTTACCGTTATATGTACTATGATAAATCGGACAGGAAATGATTTTCTTGACATCTAATAATTCAAATTTTGCTTGTATCGCTCAATTTTTAATGACGGAGACAGTTTATTCGTTCTGACTTACAATACAAAGAATGAAATGCAAAAACAATCAAAAGATAGGCATCGGCATTATTTCAATAATATATTCACATAGTAAACTATGTGTTTGTACAAATAGCTAAATGGTAAGTGTTATACAAATGACTTTTTTAGAACTAAAAATTCAAGGGCATTGAATCAACTTTAGAATCCATTAATTATCTTAATATCAAAGATTCTAATCCATATATTAAAAGCAGTGATCTATACATCGACGTAACAAAAAAGAATTGATGAGGGCGATTCATTCACTGGGTGTGAATACAATTACTAAGAGCAACATTTATTAACTCATTTATGGTTAATTATAAATTCGAATGTCATGATTTTATTAGAAATGAACAAGTTCAAAATAAATCACATTTCATATATGAGTAGCAATTTCATGCAGTTGTGTTGCTCACGTTATTTTGATTTATGGAGGTATTATATAATACCGAAATTGATTAAAATTTATTTTTTACAGGTCTGAAAATGGTGATATGATTAAAAATTTTGTTAGGCTGATGACTCATAGTAGGTATTAGAGGATATTTCGATATTGTATATTAAATGTGTTCTGTACTAGATAAGTTAATTGAATTTCACGTTAATCGAGATTTCCTATTCGTTGTTAACGTGCTAGAATGTCTTTTCGCGGAATGAAATTGATGCTTTGAGTGTTTACAAAAAGATAGTTTTCAATATGAGCAGATACTTCAGAGTAACCAAGTTATTTGCTGCAACAACTGTTCCAGATATGATTGTAGGCGCATTTGAGAATTTAATCGATGAAAGAAGTATAGATGCTAGTCTTTGATTTCTTATATAATTGTGGCTTATTATCTTTGTAGTATCAATTTTTCGAAAGTTGCAATTTGAATAATATTTTTGGAAATTCTATTAAATCTACTGTTCACTGTTGATATCAACAACAAAAATTCTTGGAAATCTAAATTACAAGTTATACGTTTATCATGCAAAATCCAATTTGATTTTTTCAATTGTTGATTTTATAGTAAACGCGCTCATGAAGTAGCAAAGCTACGGTGGCGCCTTTTGAAAACAAGTGAAGTTTCTTATCAAGTTTATTTTAATTTTAATTTTTGTAGGCGATGTAGATAGATTTTTTTCTTTTAAGTTATAGTGTAGCTTTTTTTTCTTGTATTATGATTATTTTTTTTTATTTTCGGTTTTCGCTCGCGGGTTTATATATTAGGGTCCTTAGTGTTACTTTGGCAACGCACCCATAGAAATTATGGAGTTAGTCCGGACATTCTTTTTTTATAGGGTCCAAAAGCCTAACATTGATAAAGTCTTGAACATCACCTAACGTCAGCGTAATCATGAAATGTGTTATTATCTAGTGGGCAACAGAACTTTCGGCCTATGAAACAATGATCACAACCCATTGAAAAAGGATATTGTAACAATTCGTACCGCCATGAGTTAATTTAAGCCTATTAAGGTAAGATATTTTTTTATCTTTAAACAAATCGTTATTCATCATATTTGAGAATAGGTGATATTTTAACTTTTATTTTGGATATTTTGTAATTTTTTTCTTTTTTTTTTTTTTTGTCGAACCTCAACGTAATTTCTCATCACACTCAAACGCAATCTCTCATCCTAAAAATTGTAAAAAAAATTTTCCATCTCATTCAAATTTCATTTCATTCAGCGGAGAAATGCTAATTTCAAAAACTGTACATTTGATGAAATCATTTTTTCCATATTTTACACATTTTCATAAAATTACTATTAACCTATTTACTTCTATTATTATTTAGTTTATAAATATAAATTGTAAAAATATTATCTAGTACCGTTGCTACTATTTCCTTTAGTTTTTTTATGTATAAATGAATTTAAAAAAAAATTCTCAGAAAAGTAGTTATAAAGCCACAGGTGCTTTTATAAGACTGTTCGGTTTTTTCGGGTATCTGCTGCTTTTATTTGCGACATTTAATTACGATAATTTATTAAGAAACATCATTTTAAATAGCCATTGCTTGACATTTTAGCTTTTTAAATATGAATTTATTTAAAAAAAATCGCGGCATTTTATATCGAATTAATTTTTTCGAATTATAATATATATATAACCAGTGGTGTTGTATTTAACTGGTGAAAACATCATTTTCTTAGACAAATTTTCTAATCCTAGTTTACTTATTATACACAATAATCTAATCTATATTTATATATACTGATAATCACTATAAATTAAATAAATTCAACATTAAGTTTAGTGTTATAATATACATTATAAATTATACATAATAAAATAATTGGAGTGAGCTATTTTAGAGGTTAGGAAAAATTATCGATCACTTCATGATATATTTTTTTCCTAAAATATTTTTTCTGAGTAGTATATCTTACTAATCTTTTTTCTCTTATTAAATTCATTTTTTTTTTTTATAATCATCGTCGTAGCCATAAAACAGAGATATATTTATCGGTGGATTATCCAAATAAACAGTGCTTTGAGCAATGCTTCATTCACTTGACTTCATCTTAAGGTTACTTTTAGTTCTGCTATGAATTTTCCATCAATATCTCTTTCATCCTTTACTGTATTTTTAGCTGGCTTAGTTACCCCAATATTGAAATCACTCAGTATTTCGGTTAATGTAAATTATCTACTATTAATAATTTGATCTTCCCTGGTTGATTGGTTAATAAAAATCTTAATTAGGTTTTTAGTCACGTCTATTTTAAAATAACAACTTATTAGTATATATTTAATTACATATTAATATTAAAATGAATCTTACTAACTTGTGAGAAATTTCAAAATGTAATTATCGCGTCCTATTTCTTCTGGAATTTCTGGTTTTAGATTGCGTTTTAATTCTTCAGTAATACTTTCTATAGCAATTTCATTACATAATTCATCACCCTTTTCCTGGAATACTTTATTCAAGTGGTCTAACAATTTGGTTCTTGACCAATCTCTTCTTTTTTTACTTAATTTAATCGTTGCTTCATCATCTTTGTCTTTTACATTAATATTTATCGGGGGATTGTCCACGTAAACAATATTTTGACGTATTTTAGCAACTGCTTCATTCTGTTTACACAAATCTTCTTTATCTTTTTTGCATTTGTCTTCATTTTTAAAATTACTAAATTTAGTTCTCACAATAGTAATATGTTCATGAATATCATTGCCAAAGATAGCTTCCACTTCATCTGCCGTGATTTTTCCATCAATAACAAATAAAATGTGACATATCTCTTTTATTTTTTCCGATAATTTTATTATATTCTTAATTGGCTTAGTTACGTCAACATCAATCACATTGTATTTCTTTTCGATCTTTCCAGAGTAATAATGAGAATCACCCAGCACTTCAGCTAATGTAGATTTACCACTATTAATGCGACCAACTATTAACAAATTCCTAATTCCCACTTTTGGAATATTAAAACTAAATTTCGGATTTTCTAAATTTAAACTGCGGTTCAATTTTTTAGACTTCATTCTGACCGATCGATTCATTTGCGCTAAATTTATAGTTTGATCATTATAATTCTTAAAGTTTAATGTATCGCCAATCGGACCAGCAACATTTCCCAAGAAGATTTTATCATAGTATTTTTCTGAGATTACTTTATTCAAATGATCTAGCAGTATAGTTCTTGACTTTTCTCTTCTTCTTTCATTAACTATAATTGTTTCCCTATCGTCTTCATCATGAACAAAAATATTTATCGGGGGATTGTCTATATGGACGATACTTTTACATAATTTGGCAACTGTTTCATTTTCATTATACAAATCGTCTTTATCTTTTTTGCACTCTCTTTCATTTTTAAAGTTGCTAAATTTAGTTCTCACAATAGTGATATATTCAGCAATATCGTTTCCAAAAATGGAATCTTCAAGCAAGTTAAACGTACTTTCTTCTTCTGCCGTAAATTTTCCGTCAATCACAAATAATATTTGGCTAACTCCTTCCGGTATCAAATAATTTACTTCTGGCATTTTTTTATACATAACTTCCTTATTAGTTAACGCCATTCCAATGTCATCAACCACATGATATTTAATTCCTTCCCATTCAAAAATTTGTTTTCGGAAATTTTTAGAGCACTTGCTCTCAACAGTATTACTTAATACATTGGACAGTGTGGATTTACCACTACCTGCATGACCAATTATTAATAAATTCCTGGGATTTCCTTTTTTCTTTTTTTCATCTAATTGATTATTAAATCTGGTATTATCTGATGAAATAAAAATATGGTAAATTATTAATAAAAAATAAGTAATTTTAATAACCAATATATTAAACTTACTTCTTGAATTTAAATATTGCGAATTACTTCTGTTATCATTATTAGGTATATTAAGATGTGAGGATTGTTGATCAAAAGATCCAGTTTTTAATTGGCTTAAATTTTCATTTACTTTTTCCATATCGAGTTTTGATTTTGGTTCGCCGTTTTCATTTAATTTACTATTGAGTTTGGTAGTGTCCGATGAAGTAACTAATATAATAATTATTAATAAAAAAAAATAATTTTAATATTGATCAGTACAATTAATTTATTAAACTTACTTCTTGAATTTAGATTTTGATAGTTAGAAGGAATAGTTAAATCGTCATCATCAGTCTTCGAACTTTTGTCTTCATTAGGCATGTTAAGATACGGAGATTGTAGATCAAAAGAAGTTTTTAAAATTTCATATACTTCCTCAATATCGGGTCTTGATTTTGGTTCACCATCCCAACATTTTTGATATAATCGTTGATACTTTAGAGGTGTACCTTCAGTTGGTTCTTCTCTATTACCATCTTTAATGTGATCTTTAAGTAAACTCCGCTCACAGCCAGAAAAAGGAGGACGCCCGCTTGAAATTTCCCATAATAAAACACCTAAACTATAAATATCTGACTTCTTATCCTTTTTATACTTGATACTCTTAAAACATTGTGGTTCAATATATTCAATCACCCCACAATTGTTACCCATTGAATTAGATGTAATATCTGCCAACTTCTTAGATAATCCAAAGTCTGCAATTAATAATTTTCCATTATTCACTAATATATTTTTTGAGTGCTACATAATGATTGACATTATTTATTAAAATTATCACCAAAACCAATATCATAAACAAAATATTATAAAACAAATATTCCTTTACCAAGTCTCTATGGATTATCTCTTTAGAGTGTAAAAATTTCAATCCACTAGTAATATCCAACGCCATTTGACTTTTATTATTCCATTTTAAGGAAGTAAAGTTTTTTTTCAAATAATCTCTTAAATTTCCTTCATTGGCATATTCCAGCACCAAAATATAATACTCAGAATCTGTTAAATTGAAATATAAATAGGTTAGGCTGGACTGTATAAATAAATTATTTAAAAAAAATCTTAACATAAACCTTTTGTTATTCCCAGGATACGATTTATGTTTTGATGATAATCAACCTCGCGAAGGAGACTTAACTAAAAAAAAAATTGGTAAACAACAAAATTAATTTCATTTATATGTATATACCAAGCTAACATGCTGTACAACATAAAAATACACATCTAGATGTGTATAAGAGACAGGTATATACCAAGCTAACATGCTGTACAACATAAAAGGTCGATTCCTACCTCTTTAATAAACCTTTTATTAACCTCATTAAGCTCATCTTCTTCAATATTTGAATTGTTATTAAAAAAAATTTTTAATGCAACTAATCCTGCATTAGCCAAATTTGCTTTATTCACTTTACCGAAACCTCCCCTATCAATTTCGGTGATTTGACTAAATTTATCGTATTCAAAATAACGGATATATTCGTTCTTTATCTTTTTCTCAATCCATTCTTTTATTGAAGTCATTTTGTCATTTAAATTAAAATAGTGAAATTGTAATTTTTTAGGGGAGAAAATTTTTTTTTTTTTTTCAGCGTTATGAAGTCCGGGGACATTACAAATAATCCCGTTAATGGTTACATGTTGCAATTGATGCGTGCACAGATGATGAACATCTATGCATGTTGCCAATCCACTTTAAGCATTGATCAACTGCAATACCTTAAGTTATAATCAATTGGGAATGTAGATATCACCTAAAAAGGAAAGTCAAATTAATATAATTTTTAAACTTGTGAACATTTTACAAGGTGAGAATTATTTATTCAAACTTAACTCTCCTGTTGAATTAACTTTTTTTTAAAAAAAAAGATGGCGGCATTAAATGTAAAGCGACAGTTGCTTAGAGTCTACCTTACTTTATAATAAATAATTGGCATTGAATAATTTCTCTGATAAAAACTTGAATATCTCAATAACTGTAAAATGTTAAGCGGCTGAAAATTTTAACGTTGATGTATAAATAATATATTTTTTAAAATATTTATTCATCATTTTGAGTCCATACACATTGAATTTCTTAATAACCAATAATCTAATTGAGTTAAAATTGCATGTATCATAAAGTTAACATCCCTCTCTTAATTTTGGCGATAATTTTGATCATTAGATTATTGAGAAAATCAAAATTTATTTTCTGTGGTAGTTTAATTTAGTTTTCTCAACAAATAATAACCTATCTCATATGAAATTAATATATTTTGTAGAAAAACACCAGTTCAATAAATATAAAAATTTGGTTCAATTTTGGAGTCCTGAGTGATTGATGAGGGAATTTAATATACTGTATAATGCACGGATCTCTGCACGGATTTGCCGATCTCCAACCTAATGTCCTAAGAAAAAATTTTTGATATTATTTGTAAGATTCTATTATATGCTAATATTCATTTACATATTTATTTATTTTTATGTATTTCATAATGGTGTTATTTAGGCATTTAACAATATTAATAGAAAATTAATAAATATACAATAATTTCTTTTAAATAGAAAGTAAATAACATGAGATACAATATCTATGTATAAATAAATCCATTATTTATTTAATCAATTTTACGTTACATGGCACTAACACACTGTATTATTTATATTGTAAAAAAAAAAAGAATAAAATCAAGATTCGTTAAAAAATTAATTATAATTACCGGTATTATGGTAATGTTCGATATATGCACAGTAATAAAAAGAAACTAGACGATAGATTTAACATGATTTTAGTGTTGTCAACTCCAACAGTAATATCTCTTCTCGTATCATCTCTGAAAATTGATTGTACAAATTTCTCAGAGACAAACTAAATAATGTCGTGTCACAACATATATAGCATTTTATCATGTATTTTTGATTTTATTTATTTATTTTTTTTTATGACAAACTTAAAACAAATAGTTCATTGTATTATGGTAACATTTTTTTTCCACGCATTAAGAACCTTTTAATATTTGAATGATGCAAAGCCAAATTCTGATAAAATGAATTTTTTTAAAAAAACAACGAAAGGCAACGATGAAGTATAATGAAGAACATCATTCAAGATATACTGAAAAGAATGAAATAAACGAAATAAAATATACTGAAAGAAAAAAAATAACGAAACAAATTAATAATAAACGAAAAAAAATATTAAAATATTGATCAATTTTAACTCAAGATCGCTCGCAATTAATAAAATTATTCCAGCATGCTTTACAGAAGCATGGTTTAGGATATTGAAGAAATCATCGACTGGTGTAAAAAGTTGGTGAAAAGGATCAAAATAAGGGATTTGAATGTAACTTGGATTAACATTTATGGTAATCTCGGATGGGAAATGTGAATTTTTAATTTTAATTTTTATTACACAAAGGGAACGGTGAGGTATCAGTACAAATTACAAACACTAAAACCGAAAGTAATTCAAAAACTGAGAACCAAATCGCTATGAAGGCGATGTCACCTTGGTACGGGATATTCTAAGAACATTGCCAGATCGATAGGAATTGGGAAATGTGAATATTTATTCATTTTATGAATAGTTTAGGAGAAATACAATGAAACTCATAAAACTATTCTAAGAATATAAACAGAATACATTATATAACTTTGTCCACAACAACGAACAAGTTCCCTGAAGCGGACCCTAACTAGTAATAAAAGGAAAAAAACTATTTAAAAACACAACCGAATCTAAATAGGAATTGGAAAATGTGAATGTGCAGACTGTTGTAGAGATAGTGATAGAGGCTATTGTCACGTGACTGACAATTTTGCCAACTGATCATTTTATTTTAGAGTGTCCTTAAAGTAGACTGGGTTCAGGTCACAACTGTATTAATCACGTGACGATTACTTTGAAAAAACTTAGGGTTTAAAGCCTAGATCCCAGTTCAGGATAAATTGTCCAAATATCATCGAGAGCATAGTAAACATGTAGTGTATGGTTGGCTATGTATGTAGGGTATGATTAAACATCACATATAAAAGGATCACGTGACCATACGTGGTACAGAATAGAACTATCTAAGCCTTTCCTTATTTGGTAATAAACAATGTAGATCTGTATGGAACGCGTGTGAAATTTTGCATACCCTACATATATAAGTATCCATACACTACATGTTATCGTAACACCCAATATATCATCTGATGATCATCTGATTTGTTGTAGTACAATATGATCTTCTCGCATGATTATATCACGTTTAATAAGTGATTTTGTAACTTTCATAACTCTTCTTTTTTCTCTTTTTTTCTTTAATGTCAGACAAAAAGTTTATAAAAAGCTATAAATATCGAGTTTAATAATTATTTAAGTATAAAATTTATTGTTGGTTTATTTTTAACTACTATATTAACTGTTTTTATTTTTTTTGTTTATCTTCTTTATACAAAGATTAGAGTGTAATTTTGGTACTTTGATCATTCTTTGAAGGCTAAATAAAGTTGCTTAACAAGTATAGCATTACTCAAATAGTTATTTTTATTGAATTATTTTACATAGGAGTTATAATTATACTTTGTACCAATATTAAATGCATTATACATTTTTTAAATCTCTTTAAGCAATATGTGTTTATATATTTATTTAGGTTATTTATTATACTTGTTTTATTATATCTATTAGGAGAGTTAGAAGAAATGCATTTTTATATTTATTTAGGTGTTATTTATTATCTGTTATATTTATTTTATTAATAGATATGCATTTTTATATTATGATGTTATTTATTATATTTGCTTTATTATAGTATCTATCAGGAGACATAGAAAACACGCATTTTTATATTTGTTTACGTGATTTATTTTATTAATAAATAAGCAGACATAAATTTCAAATAAATTTCAAAGTAAAAATCAAACGAACTTATCATTTTTTATCAATAAAGCATATTTTATTGTTTTATTAACTTTTAGTAAATAATTTTTTTTATTAAATTTAAAAACAAAATTTTAAGAGTAAAAAATCAATATTTTTTATACTTTAAGTATGAAAATTAATTTTTTTTAATATTTTTAAAAGTGCGAGAAGTGAAAAATTTTGCAATTAAAATTTTTCTAAGATAAATATTATGCAAAAAAGCAAATGAGGCTAATGCATCACAAAAAATTACATGGAGAGTAGAAAAGTGACGGTAATATTGGGTAAATTACTCATATAAGTGACTACTGTACCATTGCATATTTACTCCAGTATCACTGTCACTTTTTTACCCCATGTAATTTTTTGTGGCGCATCAGCTTCATTTGCTTTTTTGTGTAACATTTATCTTAGAAAAATTTTAATTGCAAAATTTTTCGCTTCTTGCAC